CAAACTCACTAATCATGTTTCCTAAATTCTCATGCAAATATTTTATATAAATGACAGACGAGACTAGATTTTAATTCCAGATGTGGATTGGTTCAGTTTAAATTCTGCCAGCTATTGTCATGGAATTTGAACTCATGCCCCCAGAATATAAATCTGGGGCCCTGAACCCTAGTCCTTTTAGTCCTGTAATATAATGGCATCACCTTACCCTGTCTTCACTACAGTGATGAAAAAAAGCTGGATTTTAAAACTGTCACAAGTAACAAATATTGTGATGTCTGCACACTGATGTGTTTGAGCATGGGTAGCTTTGCTGTGCTTGTATCACCCGGCAATTCATTGAAAAGAAATATGTTTTTTAAAAAAAAAAGTCAAAAATTAGCACATTACCTTCCTTTATTCACTGCCTCAAGCATATGCAGCTGAATAACTACTTCCAGAGAGTTATAAACTCAGGATGGCTTTGATTCATTTTCGCATTTGTATAATGCTAAAAATATACAAGTTATTTTAATATGTCAAGTAGTATGTTTATTTGGTAGTTTATTTAATAATGAATCCAAGAAAGCAAAATGCTCTGCAGATTTGATATTAAACTAATTTGTTACAAATTTTCTGATATTCTTAGTCATTTCAAAAATGAGATAGAGGTCGTTAAGAAAGTTACTAAGACCAAAAAGTAGGAACAGAAGTTAGCCATTCAGTCCCTCGAGCCCATTCCACCATTCAATAAGACCCTGGCTGATCTGACGTTCCTTACATCCACTTTCCTGTCTTTTCCCTGTAACCCAAGAATCTTGATCAGCGGGGAACAGAGATAGCTGGAAAAGCTGTTCTGAGGAAGGATCACGCGACCTAAAACATCAACTCTGATTTCTCTTTACAGATGTTGTCAGATCGGCTGAGCTTTTCCAGAAAAGACTAATCCTGCTTTCTTCCTTCACCAACTGTCTGTATATCAGAAGCAAATAACCTTATTATCAATTTTCAACCTTTGCAAGCATTCTCAAGATGTCAACGAGAATTTAGAGCTCCAGTCTTCTTTTGCCATGAACACCAACAGTGGGGTTCAAATCTTTATTTCCTCATGCTGAGGAAGAAATCCTAACAATTAAACTGAAAGGTTCACTCCACTCGAGACAATTCTCTCAAATGAGCAAATCCAGTTCACAAGATGAGTCATATTGAACTTGAAACACTGACTGCTCTCTCCACAGATGCAGTCACACCTGCTGAGTCTCTCCAGCACTGTTTTTATCATTTACAGATTGAATTTTAGTTTGTGTACCTTCCTTTCTTTGACTTTGTTTACATCTTTGTTCTTCAAAGTATGAAACACAATTTGCTCAAGTTTATGTTTAGTTCCAGGTTGTATAAGCAAGGGATAGAGGCCTCCCCCTGCTCAATTCATGTTACGATTATAAACCTGCTCTTTTCTCCAATAAAGATTCTCACTCTGAGATTCAGAACTCAAAATATTCTCCCTACTGTCCCCAATTTAAAAAGTGATACAGTGGCTTAAGAAAATTGTGGTGGTGGAGGGGGAAGAATGCCCTTATTACATACTGCGTGGCTTAGCTCCAACTGAGTTTAACCCAGCTTATGTTGTTTTAATATCATGCCCATTTGCTCCAAATTCACAAATCCACATTGAAATGCAAGGCCAACAATGCAATTGAAACAGATCCTTAACAATTACAAAGCAAAATATATGGCTTCACATCCTATATTTGAGGCTGATCTTCAACAATTTATTCAATTGCTCAGTGTCATCTATGATAAGAATCACGGATGCAAATGAAAAACCACAGAAACATCTTTCTCTCTACCACCTTCCTCCATCAATTATCTAAATATTGTAGCTGGCAATATGGAAGGCTAAAACTGTTCTCCACCCTCAAATAGAAAAGGAAGAATTTTTGACGTTAACAGTTTGACTAGCTTGAATTGCCACCTGACCCCGTGAAAAGATCATTTTTTGCAAGTTGTTTAACTTGAATATATCTGACTTCAATGGCAGATATAGACATGAAATTTAGTATCGTATTATGCCACACAATGTTAGCTTAAGTACAGCCAGCATATGAAAATGCAACAGTTTCTATTTGTTGTGTCCGGTAAATGCCTTTACTGCAATAGAATTTGAACTTTATAGATGCAAGGTCATTTAACACAGTGAACCAAAGTTCTCAGCTCCACAACAAACACAAACTCTTAATCTTGTGTGCATAATAATTCTAAACAGTTCGACAATTACAGTATTATCTCAATGCCATTGCTAAATTGAAAAGAAACACGTATGATGCTAAATTTAAGCAACTGTACAGCTAAGCTTCCACCACCATTATAGAATTTAAAAAAATCCTACAGTACAAGATACCACACAGCTCAGCATGCTTCTGCCAGATCTTTGAATGATCTGTCCAACTAATTCTGTTGCCCTGCTCTTTCCCAATAGCCCTCAAATTTTCTTCCCTTCAAGTAATTATTTAACTATATTTAAATAGTTAATTAAATATAGTTAACTATATTTAACTTTGGTCTAATAGTTAATTAAACTAATTTAATTTAAGTTAATTAGACTGTTTAATATAGTCTGTTATATTAAAATAATAGACTATATTAGTCTATTAAAGTCTGTTTAATATAGTTAGCACGAAATGTTCTTCCACCAACTTTTCATGTCATGCGTTCAATTTCATAATTCATAACTACAGGCAGAATTGCAAATGGGTCCCATATGGGAATCTGTTACAAGTCAATTTGTACGCAAATCAGAACACAGGATAGGACAATGTAAAGCAGCCATTCGTAAGAACAGTCAATGTTTGTATATCAGGCCTTTAAAATTACACTGCTGTATGGAATCACATTTGTAAGTGAGCTTTCATAAGGCAGAAGTTGCAAATTGGGGACCCCCATACATCAATTTTAATATTTATTCTTTCACAAGAGAAAAACACGTTAATGTAGTGAAACATAAGTATCTGAGTGACAATAATAGTTTCGTAATCACGTGGCTATTTTCAATTTCGGATTTACTTGTTAATTGAATTTAAATTCCCCAGCTGTCATCGTGGGATTTGAACACGCCCTCAGGGCAATAACTTGGACTGTTGGATTAGTAGTGATGTTATTATGATAACCTGGATTCCCTCAGTTTTTGTCAAAAGCCAACAATCTGTACTGCCTCATTGGTAATCCTCTTGACAGTGAAAATAGTTTCATCAGATTTATTCTTTCATGATTTTGAATAACTTAAAATTTCCCTTCACCTTCCCAGCCTAAAGAACAACTTCAGTTCTCCAGTTTCACCACATAACTGAAACCCACCATCCTTGGTACCATACAAGTAAATCTCTCTTGCACCTTCCCCAAAGCCTAGCTACTCTTCCCAAGAAGTCATGGTCCAGCTGGGGCCTAACCAGAGATTTGTAAAGGTTTTGCATGTCTAATGACTCCTGATGGAAGTGTACTCTGAATTTTGAGTAAGAATAGAATTAAAAAAAAAACTCATCAGTAGCGGCAACTCTCTGACCAAATAACAAAGGGTAGTCGTTTGTGATGCATCAAAGATGGAGAAGTTTGCTCAAGATTCAATGGGTTAACCAAAAACATACATTAGCCACGTACAGTCTATGGTTAAAAGAGCAGGTCAGAGACTGGGAATTCTGTGGTGAGTAACTCCCCTCCTGTCTCACAAACGCCTAGTCACCAACCACAATGCACAAGTCAGGAGTGTGATGTAATGATCTCTACCTGCTTGAATGGGTGCAGCTACAAATAACACAAGCTCAACAACATCCAGAACAAAGCAGACTGCTAGACTGATGCTCTATCACCTTCAACATGCATTTCCTCCACAATGGCAACATGTACCACCTAAAAGGTGCACTAGTAATTCACAAAGGCTGCTAAGACAGCACCTTCAAACACAACCTCCACTGCTTAGAAAGACAGGGGCAGATGTATGGGAATATGACCTGCAAGCTGCCTTCCAGTGTGACTTGAACAACCACTGTTGCTGGGTCAAAGTCCTGAAATTGCCTCCCAACAGCACAGGACTGCAACAATTCAACAAAGCAACTTACCACCAACCACCTCTAGGACAAATACAGATGGGCAATAAATACTGGCCTAACCATTATTCTTGAATATTTTGTTTTAAAATTTCAGAAGAGACTTGTAAAAGGTGTCAAAAAAATTGGTATACAATCACAATACAGTTTGCAAATTAAAACTAGTGACACTTTTTCTATGTTGTCCAAATTCTGTTTGTTTCGACCTGGAGATGCTTGGCTTTTGAGCAGGGAATTGGCAGCTGCAGTTTAACTCCGGTTCTGAAAAAAGGATGCGTTATTGTAGAAGGAACAAGTCAGAATATTAATGAGAGTCATTCACACCATCAGTCCAGTAAACTGGGTAGCAAATAAAATGTTCAGCTGCATAATGAATAATGCGAGATATAAATCAAGAGGAGATTTTAAAAAAGTGTACAAGCATGGGCAAGACCATGTCTTGCTCAACTCAGCTTCCAAGTGTTTTGGTAAAACTGCCTAGCAATGGATGATGTCTCCTTTTTGTTGTACACTAATATTTCACAGTAGTGGCTATAATAAAGCTCCATCTTCCTTAAGCCATTTGTCATTTTGAATATAGATGCTGAATTTTGGTCACTGAGAACAAACCTTTTAAAGCTAACCTTTAACCATTCAATAGCTTCAACCATTCATTTCCAACAGAAGTCACTGCACTTCAAGCAGAAGTACAAATGATTTCTTTTTCCATGCCTTGAGATGTGGACAGTTGTATTACCTTCTACGCAGTTACACCAACTCATTCTAGAGGTTAGAACCCAAGATCCACTGGCGTGGTTAATATCATACCATGCATTCTTCACCTATCAGGGTCATTCATCACCAGCCAATTTTTCCTCCATGTCTGAGCTGCACAGTACACATGGGACAAGTAAGCTATTGCATTACATTGTTCAAGCTTACCTGATGGTGATGACTTCCTCCCGGTTAGCCTGTATGTGCCAACTACAATTAACGCGAATTTGATAGTTAAAGGGCCAACCTGGACTTGTAATTGTTCCACTTGGTGCCCTGAGTTGTTCTGGTGTACCTCCACATGCTAAGAGAAAGAGATGTTGGATAATTAATACAGTAAATGCAGGTAACATTGCAGTGCAACTGTGTCTGTACAATTGCAGCAAAAGGAAAAGAAAAATATCAATAAACAATCACAACCACAAATACCCAACCCCTTTAAAAATAAAAAAGCTTCCAAAGGTTCGTCACAGAGACACAATCAAAAACTAGACACTGAACCAAAGAGACAGAAAAGAGAGATGAAGGAGATTCTTAAAAAAGCAGACACTCAGGAATGAGCAGGGAGGACGTTGCAGCAGGGAACTCCCTCTCTCACCCATCTTCTGGGAAAGCGTTCACTCCATCCTTCACCTGTGCATGCCAAAACACACTTCCTCCTATGCATCCACACACAACACTCCTCTCTTATGAATAAAGTGAATTGTGTGCAAACTTCCCAGCATTCAAGAGTTTAAACACAAACACATGCATTCCACTTCCTCACATGAATAAAAAAATTTCCCACTGAATTTTACAGTACAGAAAAACCCCACCGTGGTGTCCTGAAACAGCTCGCCAGCTAGTCTGACTCTACAGACCTATTTACGTATCCCTCCGAATTCAAATATATATCCAGCTCTCTTCTGAAATCTCATATGGAGTTTACCTTCCCCATTCTCCCAGACAGCACATTCTAAATCATGACAACTGAGTAAAGAAATTTCTCATCTCACTCCTAGCTCTCTTCCCGACAATCTTGAAATTGTGACCCCTTGTTACTGACTAGTGGAAACAGAATATCCTTCTTTACCTTGTCAAAATTGTTCATAATTTTGAACACCTCAATAAAAGGTCATTGCAACCTTCTCTGCTCCAAGGACAATAAGCCCATTTATCTAATCTTTCATGGTATCTAAAATCCCTCAATCCTGGTATCATTCTAGTAAATATCCATTCCACTTTCTCCAAGGCTATAACATACTTCATTAAAAAAGGTGCCCAGAACTGAACACAACATTCCAAATGTGGTCTGCCCAATGATTTGTAAAGGTTTAGCACCACTTCCTTGCTTTTACACTTAATGCCTCTATTTATAAACCCATGCACCCACACAAAAGCTTCCTTCCCCTACTTGCATGCACACACTCCCTCCCTTAACCTTTGCATGCATACACACGTGTTTATGTTTGCAAGGGAGTGAGATAGATGTGCAATGGAGGGTTAGGCTGTATTCACGTGCGTTCAAGGGAGGGAGTTCATATGTGCATTTGTGAACAAGGGAGAGAAGGCAAGAAGGGAGTCAGACTGAGTGCACACATGTACAGGGTGGAGAGCTGAAGGATGTGAATGTGAGGGAGGTGGAGAGAGGGCATGAGTATAATGATGTGTACATACATATGTGGGGGGGGGGGGGGGGGGGAAGAAGAGAAGACAGTGTGAGAAAGCAAGGTGGAGGAAGGGTGTGTTTGTGTGGGTTTTTGGGGGAGAACATCTTTACATGCATGAGGTGGAAGAAGTGGAGATGGGGAGGGAGGGGATTGTATGATGGAGGGGTCACCTGGGACACCAAGGCATACAAGATTATGGACTAAGTGCTGTAAAATGGAATGTTTTGACTTGTGCAGATGCAATGGGCCAAAGAGCCTTTTCAGTGCCATAGATATCTATGACTCTACAGGGAGTAAGTGCCTCTGTGAAGGAAATTGTCAGTGTGCATGCTTCAGAGAAGGAGGGAAGGAAGGGTTGGGTGCGTTTGTGGGCAAGAGAGAGAGTGTCTGTCCATTGCTCCAGGGTGCACATGTATGCGCATGCATTCAAGAGAGGGGAATCATGTATGCATGTGTCAAAGAGGGGGAGGGGAGGGGAGGGAAGGATCAGCCTGTGGGTGCACATATTTAGAGTGGGGAGTTGAAGGGTGTGAATGTGAGTAAGGCGGAGAAAGCGAGTGAGTATGTGGGTACGTATGTGTAAGGGAAAAGGAGCGTTTGCATGGGCAAGGCATATGGAGGGAGAGTGTGTATATAAGAACATAAGAACTAGGAGCAGGAGTAGGCCGGTGGTTGAGGGAGGGAATGTATGCGCATATACAGGAGAGGGAGAACTGGTGTGCATTAGGGTGGGGTTGTATACATGCTACAGTGGAAGGAATTGTGTGTGCATGCATTCATTCATGCTTGTGAGGGAGGAGAAGGGAGCATGTGCCTGCAAAAGGGAGGGCAGTGGGGTTGTGTTTTATTGGTTTCTCAATGTATAACTAAGAGAAATTATCACTCATCCAAACAGAATATTACCCAAAGAGTTTGAAAGTTTGGAAATATGTGAAGCAATCAAAAAGGTAATGAATATATACTGTGCAGCTTGTCTGCTGTTAACAGCACAACATTCCTCCATTCAGAGAAAAGGGAAGAGCCAAGGATGGATTCTTATGCACCAAGAAGATGACAACATGGAGTTGCACAGTTTCTGTAAATTTGGTGGGATAGGCAAAATATACCAAGTGATGATTGGACAGTGGAGAAGTTGGAAGATTTCATTAAAAGAAATCAAGGCATCATAGGAATCCCAGAGAGAAGTTACAACAACATACACAGAATCGTAGAATGGAAGCAATCTTGGAGTCTGCAAATTGGGTGATCCAGTGTTTAGTAGAAAGCAGAAAATTCTCATGGACAAGATGAACTTAGAGAGGTCATCAGTAAGAAACAGACTTCAGACTGGTACAAATAACATTGAAGTGCCTAGCATTGTTATTGCGTTTTAATCAAGAGCATACCAAAAGACGATCATGAACAAATTTCACGCAGTTATTTTTATTTGAAAATTAAAAGTCCTCTCAATCCACCTCTTATCAATGCTGCAAGCTCACAGACAGTGAAGTGAGTACAGGCTCCCTTGCAAAGCAGCAAGCCTACTGAGGGACATCAAGCAGGGGAGACTGCAAGGCGACATCATTGAAATGTATAAAATTGAGGGGCATAGGTGGGGCAAGTCAGAAGAAACTATTCCCTTGATAGAGGGATCAATGACAAGGGGCACAGATTTAAAGTTAAGGGACAGAAGGTTTTGAAGAGGTGGGAGGAAAAAACATTTTCCACAGGTGGTACAGGCATAAACCTTCAAAACACTGAAAAAGTAGTATTTAGACGTACATTTGCAAGGTGAGGGGAAGGTCAGCAAAGGCTAAGCGCTGGAAAAACAGTATTATAATCGTAAGGTGGTTGTTTTCAATTAGTGCAGATGAGATGGGCTATAGATCCCTGCGGTGGTCTGTTAGCTGCTATAATTCAAGTTGAGTGTGCTAGTGGTGTATGAGTCAGAGATTTTAAGGACTGCAAAAGGTCCTTCAGCCCATCTCATCCAAGCAGTTCAAAGACAACCACCTAAAGATCAGTCATTCTATATGCTCCTGTAATGTAAGGCTTGTAAGGCTATCCTCCTTTCTACCCAATCAATTTTTGTATCATCTGCGAACTCAATGATCAACTCTCCTACATTCAAGTCTAAAATCATTTATATAATCTATAAACAAAGGTCCCAACACTGACCCCTGTGGGACCCCACTGGACACATCTCTTTTTAATTATTCGCTTCATTTTGATAATTAACGCACGATAAGATTTCTAAATAAGATTCTAGTTATGGTATTTTACTGCAAACACAATCTCACTTTAGTTTCATAGCAAACATTGTGGACCTTGAAGCATGTTGGTAACAAGAGATCCCTCGAAGAAAAAAATCAAAAAGATACAAACTTTATAACTACTGAATGCGCAGGGGGCAAAAGGCCTGTCACGCAGTCGAAATTTGACTTGAAAATATTGCAACAATAAATCCTAATGTATCACTTTGGTGATCCAGGTTAGATTTAGGGTCACATTAATCAAGATGCTTCAATTTACATTTACTGAATAATTACTTTTAAAAAAAAAAACTTGTTCTGGGGCAGGAAACAACAGAATTATGAAATTCCAAAATAATGAAGTATCACCATCATCCCCTTGTGCATTAGGACAAACAAAGCACCTTGATGAAACTTGTTTGATTGGACGTACTAAAGCCAAAAGAATTACAATCAACAAATCTCTATCTATAGCCAATGTGGCTTTAGATGGCATCTGGAACATACATTAATTGCAACAATGCAGAAACTCACAAGGCACTATTACATACCAGTCTAATGTCTCTTTCTTAATGAATATGGTCAGGAACTTAATTAATGGATTACTGCACCAATATCAATCTCACTCTAATTTAATAATGCATGGCTGTAAGCACTCACTTAACATTTAAAGCATATATACCAAATTTATTGAGTTCCCCACTAAAACAAAATAATCCTTTAATTACTATAACATCATGATGTCAGGTCCTACATCAGCTGTTAATTTCCTTTCACATCTGAAAAGAACAAACATACCAGTTGAGGTCTTTGACAGCTGTGCATTTCCTGAAACATACTTTCCACCTAGAACGCCACTTCCTGAAACAAAAAAAGTTTAAAAAATAAATTTAGCATATCAAGAATAACACCACTCAGGTTTTGTGGACTTCACCTATTAGGAAAAGTTTTTCTTCATGGGACTAGAAATATGCATACGTTCAAATGGTTCACTGTCAAAAAAATTGATAAAGTGCATCACCTGAAATGAAAAGACATCAGCAGTAAAATTATCATCCTTCACCATTTCCGTCACTTCCATCAGGATGCCACTACCAAACACATCTCCCCTACCCACCACAGCATTCTGCAGGGACCACTTCCTGAGACACTGGTCCACTCCATCATTCCTAATGCTTCCTCACACTCCTATGACACCTTTCTAACACTCGACCAGCCACCTCCTCCTTTCTCAATGTCCAATGCCCAATGCCCAAACCCCTTTTAGAGAAAGCAGTGTTTCATTTGTAATTCTTTCAATTTAATCTATTGCATTTACTACTCTCAATGTCATCTCCTTTACATTGGCAGGACCAAACAGACAGGGTGACGCTTTGCACATTTCCACCCCAACCACAGGAATGACCCTGACCTCCAAGTTGCTTCCCATTTCAATAAACCATCCTGCTGTCATGGTGACATGGTGACATATCTACCCCAAGCCTGTTGCAATATTTCACTGAAGCACAATACAAACTCAAGGAACAATAGCTAATTTTCTCTTTATATATTGCATAGCCTCAAGGTCTCCATGCTGAGTTCCAGAAGTTCAGATAGTGAACATATGTGTCCCCTCCATTTTTCATACACTCTTCACCTCCAGCCTTGACTTTTCTTGTTTGTGCTGCTCTTAGCAGAAGGGACCTATTCTCTCCCTTTTATATTGAATTTACATCCATTTTAGTGAAAACAAACCCAGTCTAACCAATTTTTCTTCATGGCTAAAATCCTCCACACCAGGCACCATCCTGGTTAACCTTTGCTGCACCCTCTTCAAAACGTCCACATCCTTCTGCTAGTGTGCTTACTAGAACTGCATGAATATTCCAAGTGTGGCTTAACTAAAATTCTATAAATCTGCAACAGAACTTGCCTATCCTTAACTCAATGCCCTTTCCAATGAAGACTAGCTTGCCATAGGCCTTTTTTACTACCTTATCTACTTGCGCTGCCACCTTCAGTGATCTGTGGACCTGCATACCTAGATCCCTCCACATATCAATGCTTCCAAGGGTTCTACCATTCATTGCATAATTTCCACCTGTATATGACCTTCCAAAACACATCACCTCATGTTTGTCTGGATTAAACTCAATTTGCCATGTGCCATTTTTCTGCCCATCGGAACGAATGAATGAATTATTTTTGTCACATGCATTTTACAGTTAAATACAATAAAATAGAGTGAAAAGCCTTCATTTGTTGCCATAATTCAGTGCCATTTTGATAGTTTAAGAATACGAGAAAATGAAAAGATATAGCTCAAAGAGAAGTCCATCTGAGCTAGCTCAGAACCACCACCGCCTTGCCAGACCCAACTAACGTTGAAGTTGCTGATCCTCAGGTGCCATCTTTCACTGCTCGGCTCGCTCTCCTACCCCACTTGTCTCACTGCCATAGATGCCTGGAGGAGCTGACTCTGTTGCTGCCTCAAGCTCTAAAACATATGAAGCAGCTAAAACCATTCTGCTGTTGGAACATGCATCTTCAACGGATTTACAGGAGGTAACAAATGTCCTACTGCTGGAATTAGCAAATAAATTTGAAGTAGAATTGTCTGCCAAAGCTAAGAAGGCAGACGTAATTAATACATTGTCAAATGAGACTATGGAAATACAGGAGTGACTAATTATTTAAGCAGTAAGTCACTTCAGTTAGCAAGGATTTGATTATGGTCAAAGCAGCTTGAATTTGAAGAAACAATCTGATTAGAAATAGTCAGCATGGCTTTGAGGGGGGCAGGTCATGTCTCACAAGCCTTATTGAATTCTTTGAGGATGTGAAAAAACACGTTGATGAAGGCAGAGCAGTGGATATCGTATATATAGATTTTAGCAAGCCATTTGATAAGGTTCCCCATGGTAGGCTCATCCAGAAAGTAAGGAGGCATGGGATTCAGGGAAATTTGGCTGTCTGGATACAAAACTGGCTGTCCAAGACAAGACAGAGGGTGGTAGTAGATGGAAAGTATTCAGCCCTGGAGGTCAGTGACCAGTGGTGTTACGCAGGGATCTGTTCTGGGACTGCTGCTCTTTGTGATCTTTATAAGTGACTTGGACGAGGAAGTGGAAGGGTGGGTTAGTAAATTTGCCGATGACACGAAGGCTGGTGGAGTTGTGGACAGTGTGGAGGGCTGTTGTAGGTTGCAACGGGACATTGACAGGATGCAGAGCTGGGCAAAAAGTGGCAGATGGAATTCAACCCGGAAAAGTGTGAAATGATTCATTTTGGAAGGTCAAATTTGAATGCAGAATACAGGGTTAATGGCAGGATTCTTGGCAGGGTGGAGGAACAGAGGGATATTGGGGTCCATGTCCATAGATCCCTCAAAGTTGCTACCAAGTTGATAGGGTTGTAAAGAAGGCATATGGTGTGTTGGCTTTCATTGGCAGGGGAATTGAATTTAAAGTGCCGTAAGGTTATGCTGCAGCTCTATAAAACGCTGGTTAGGCCACACTTGGAATATTGTGTTCAGTTCTGGTCACCTCATTATACGAAAGATGTGGAAGCTTTAGAGAGGGTGCAGAGGAGGTGTACCAGGATGCTGCTTGGACTGGAGGGTAGGTCTTATGAGGAAAGGTTGAGGGAGCTAGGGCTTTTTCCATTGGAACGAAGAAGGACAAGAGGTGGCTTGTTAGAGATGTACAAGATGAGGAGAGGCATAGATAGACTGGATAGTCAGAGACTTTTTCCCAGGGCGGAAATGACTATTGCGAGGGCGCATAATTTTAAGGTGATTGGAGGAAGGTATAGGGGAGATGTCAGAGGTAGGTTCTTTATACAGAGTGGTGGGCGTGTGGAATGGGCTGCCAGCCGTGGTAACGGAGTCAGATACTTTAGAGACTTTTAAGCGACTCTTAGATAGGCACATGGAGGATAGTAAAATGTAGGGTATGCAGGGTAGTTTGATCTTAATAGGATAATAGGTCAGCACAACATCGTGGGCCAAGGAGCCTGTACTGTGCTGTACTGTTCTATGTTCTAAAGCAAATAGAAATAGAGAAAGGAAGAGTTTTGGAACAAAAAAAAAAGGGAAAGAGAAATGAAACTTAAAAAAGAGTTGAGTCTGAAGAGAAAAGTAAAAGAGAACTTCAGAGAGAAGAAAAAGATAAAAGGGTGAGGGCTGAGGGGTAAAGAAAGGGTCGCTTGATGCTTCAGATCCATATCCTCTGGATCTATTTTGCAAAAGTTTAGATTAGGGTAGGGTATTGGTGTTGTGTATACGGATTTCAGCAAGGTCTTTCTCAAAGTCCCACATAGGAAACTGATACCCAAAGTAAAAACTCATAAGATCCAGGGTAACTTGACACATTGAATCCAAAATTGGCTTAGTGGCAGGAGACAGAGGGTGATGGCAGAAGGATATTTGTATGATTAGAGGCCAGTCTCCAGTATTCCACAGGGATCAGTATTGGGTCCCTTGTTGTTTGTGATATACATAAACAATATAGATGAGAATGTTTGGGAGATAGAGTTTGTGGAAGGCCGAAGTGTTTCCACAGTAATAAATGGAATATCTTGTTAGATTGCTGGAAGCTGCATGGAAAGCCCACTGAACCTGGTGTCTGTAAGAATAAGTCTTAAAAAAAGGAACAAAAAAGGCAAATACCATGGATCAAATTGTAGTTTAAACTGCAACCAGAAAACCAGAGGTAAACACTGCTATGCGTGCAGAAGATGAATACATTAAATTAGAGATGAATGGTTTCCGCAAAGAAAGACGACCCCTTTTGTTCAAATGATACAGCTAAACATAAATGTATGCTCTTTAGCTGGAGAAGAACAGATTTCCCTTGAAAGCATGGAATGAAATCCAACATGTTAATAAATGGGGTAAGTGAAAGTGGAGTGTATTTCTTGGTTCTGTTGTACAAAGAACAACTGGAATTCAACTTGCAGTTTGGAACAAGTGGAAGGAGGAGTTAAGAAATTACCCACAGGTGAAGTTGACCTTCTCCCAGGTAGTAATGGGACTTTATTGAAAGTTATAGCTTTGCCTAAATTCAGAGACAGTCTGAACGCGGTTAAGTCCAGAAAAACAAGCTCAGGTAAAAAATGTAGATTCAACATATGCTAGAAGATCAACTGAATGAACCTTGTCAAAGCAGCTGGCGTTCATTTGTATTATTCTTAAATTAGATAGGTCTACTAGATTCTGCATAGATTTCTGAAAAGTAAATACAGTAACAAAATAAACAGATTAACACTCAATTCCTTCATTAAAAGATTGTGTTGATAGAAGGAAATAAAGTACTGCCAGGCTGAAAGTTAATCTAATGAGGGTACAGGTTAAGTACCATTAAAAACGATGAACAAGATATCATCCTTTGGTACAGCAAATGGGTTACCATATGACTGTCAAATGAAGCCATTCTAATTTAGAAATATCCCAGCAACATTCCAAAACGTTGTGAATCAAGCCATTGCTCAAATGCCTAAATACACAAGTTATTCAGTTGATGCTGTAATATATACCTGGGAAGAATATATAAAGCAACTAGAAGATCATTTAAGCAACCAGTTAGCTGGCTTAATAAAATCTCACCAACAGTACAGCAAGTCTTAAACAATAACAAAAGTGAAGACTCTGATGGAGAACTTTTCATACCTAAAACTAAATAGGAAATCACAAGATTGCTGGGAAAGTGGGGTTTATTGGAAATTTGTGCCTAACTTCAGCATAATTGCTGTTACTTTAGTAGATTTGTTATGAAAACAGGCAAATGTAGCATAGTCAGCAGAGTCTCAAGCAGCCTTTGAGAAACTAAGGGTAGTCATAATAAGCGAATATGTATTGTTGTCCCTGAATTTTAATAATGGCA